AATCTCCTGAAGATTGCTGTCTCTTTTCTGTTCCAATTCATGGAATTTGTTCACCATAAACGTTCTAAATTCTTTATCTGACATTTTGGTAATGTCCTCAGATTTTAAGAGAGATGGTGGGGAGTTACTCTGTTATTTTGATGGAGACATATTTCCTGGTTTATTCAGACCTGAGGCTCTTCTACTTCTAGCCATTGGAAGATGTACTCATTGTTAAGTCCCTCTTAGGAGAATCTTTCATTGACTATGAGTGTGTTTATCTTTTGTTGCAAATTGACATCTGCCAAAGTCTCTGTTCTTTTGTTTTTAGTAATGTGGTCTCTGAAAAGATACTCTATTCAGGTGTCTGAAGAGCAGTATCTCCTTTTTTCCCAGCTAGTTCAGTACAAGGGAGAATCCTAAAGAATCTTACATTACTAAAAAACGTCAGACATTTAATTCTAGACCTAGCTAGTCCCTATGGCAAGGTGGAACATGAGGAAGAGAAAAAAATATAAGGGAAAAGAAAAGAGTACAGAGGGGAATAATGTCAGATGCCTTCAGTTGGACCTGGCAAGTGGCTGCTACAGCAAAAAGGACAGTCTAGGGAGAGAAACAGGAGGAAATTAACAAAAGAATGGAGGAAAACGAAGGAAGAAAATGGAGAAAGTTCGAAATTGCCTATGGGTCTGAGTGTGTCCTGGACTAGGGGAGTCTGGAAGCGAGGTGGTGGGGGCAGTGTTGCCCCTTCCTCAATGACCGTTACTGCCCAGATGCCTTTAGATGGACCTGGCGGGTGGCTGCTACAGCAAAAGGGGCAGTCTATGGGTCTGAGCGGGTCCTGGACTGGGGAGTCTGTAAGTGAGGCTGTGGGGGCGGTGTTACCCCTGTCTCAATGACTATTACTGCCCAGATGCCTTTAGATGGACCTGGCGGGTGGCTGCTACAGCAAAAGGGGTAGTCTGTGGGTCTGAGTGGGTTCTGGACTGGGGAGTCTGGAAGTGAAGCTGTAGGGGCAGTGTTGCCCTGCCTCAATGACCCTTACTGCCCAGGTGCCTTCAGAGAGACCTGGCGGGTGACATGCTACCTACAACAACTTTTTGAGGTTAATTCATGTTGCATAAAAATTCACTCTGGCATAGTGTACAACTCATTGTTTTCTTTAGTACTTTCTTAGAGGCGTACTACCATCACCATGGTCTGTTTCCAGAATATTTTATCATGCCAAAAAGAAACCCTGTGCTAATTAAAAGTTATTATCTGTTTTCCCCTCCAGCTTTATTAGTACTTCCTGTCTATGAATTTGTCTACTGTAGACATTTCATATAAATGGAATCATGTGTATGTATGACCTCTCATGATTAACTTCTTCCACTTAATATACCGTTCTCAAAATTCATCCACGTTATCACATATATCAATACTCATTTCTTTTTACAAATAGATAAGATTTAATTGATTATACTATATTTTATTTTTCTGTCAGTTGATGGACATTTGACGTATATTCATTTTGGTGGGTATTATAAATAACATAGTTATGAGCATTTATTTACAGATTATTTTATGAATTTGTTTTCATATCTCTTGGGTGTATATCAGGGAAGTGCTAGGTCGTCAGTGAACTTTATGTGTAACTTTTTAAGAAGTTTCAAAACTATTTTCCAATGGCTATCCCATTTTATAGTCCTACGATCAATGTGAGAGTGATCCAATTTCTCTACATTCTCATCTACACTTCTTAATTATCTGTGTCTTTATTTTTCTGATTGTATTATGTGTGAAGTAGTGTTATTGCCACTTTGATTTGTATTTTTCCAATGATATTGAACATTTTTCATGTGTTTATTGACATTTGTGTGTCTTCTTAGAGGAATGTATTTAAATCTTTCCCCACTTTTTTTTTTTTTTTTTGAGATTTTTGCTATAGGGTGCGTGCGTTCGCCAGACAGAGACAGAGAGATAGAAAGTGAGAAATCCCTCTGGGGGGATGACTACGCCGCAATCCCTTCTCCTCCATTCTCCTCTCAGGACCTTGGGCACGCACACACACATGCCTGGCGTGAGTTTAAGCCACCGGGTCCGGGACTCGAACCGCGGTTGACTACGTGGGAGTCCAGTGACATAGCCGTTATGCTAACTGCTGGTTCCCTAAATCTTTCCCCACTTTTAAAAATTGGATAGTCATGGGACCAGCAAGTGGCATAGTGGATAAGGCTCAGGACTACCACATGGCCGCCTGGTGGTTCGAATTATGGACCCAATGGTTTGTACTCATGCCAGAAGCATGTGAGTGCATGCTTGCCTAAAATCCCTAGAAGAGAATGGAGTAAAGGAATTGCAGTGTGGCCATACCCCTGGGGAGTGGGGGTGACTTCATTTTCTTTCTTTCTGTCTCTCTCATTCTTTTTTTTTCTTTTTTTTTGGAGAGATTTTCACTGTAGGGCGCGTGTGCTCACCAGACAGACAGAGAGAGACATAGAGACAGAAAGCGAGAAATCACCCCCCAGGGGGGATGGTCACGCCGCAATCCCTTCTCCTCCATTCTCCTCTTGGGATCTTGGGCACGCACGCACACACGCCCGGTGTGAGTTTTAAGCCACCGGGTCCGGGACACGAACCGCGGTTGACTACGTGGGAGTCCAGCGACATAGCCATTACTCTAACTGCTGGTTCCCTGTCTCTCTCATTCTTGAAAGCACACATACACTATAACAAAAATCTCTCACAAATAAATAAATAAATAAATTGGGTAGTCTTTTCATTCTTGATGTTTCAAAGTTCTTAGCATGTTTTAGATATAAGTCCCTTACTACATACATGGTTTGTAATACTTTCTCCCAGTCTGTGAGTTGTCTTTTCACTTTCCTGTTGATGTCGTTTAAAGCAGAAAAGATTTAAATTTTGGTGAAGTCTATTTTTAAATTTTTTTTCTTGTAGGCAAATATTTCATATTATTTATGGCTTCATAATTAACTCCTTCTGTCTTAATATATCTGCTTGAATATTTTTCTCCCTTTAGAACACTCTGGTCTTGATAGTATTTACAATACTGTTAATCAAGCCTCTCCTCAGTGCTTGTTAGATTCTCAAGCATCCAGGTGTTTCTAGTAAAATATTGAGCATCGTTTTTGTGATAGTCTTTATTGTAATGTTGTATTTTCAGGTATTTGGTTTCATTAAAGATAGAATTTGGCTTAATAATCTATGGAATTCTGTGATTCAAGTGTAAGAAAACTACAATGAGATAGGAAAGAAAAGAAACTTTAGAGGTAGCTATTTTCTCTAATGTCCTTCATAAGTAATGTATTTACAATCACTTCTCTTCTTTGCTCTCAAGTTACAGGATTTACTTGAATTGTAAGATGTTGAATGTGAGCACTGAAATAACCAGTACAATATTTGAATACAATGACTTACCTTTAATTATCTATAATCTTTGATTATAACCTCTGTGGTTGCTATTATTGGGATACAAAAAGGTCATAGAAACTTTATGTAAAATTTATTAATAATGATAATAAATAACATTTATTTAATACTTACTATGTGCCAAGTACAAAGTGCTTTATATATATATTAACTAGATGAATTATCACAACAGCTTTTTGAATATAATTTTCTCCATTTTTTGCATGTGAGGAAACAGGTATAGAGAAGTTAAGTAACTTGGTCTTAGTTTGGGCTGCTGTAACAACTTACCATTGACTGGGTGACTTACAGAGAATAGAAATGTATTTGTCATGGTATTGGAGGCTGAGAAGACCAAGATCAAGGTGCTAGCAGAATCAGTGGTCTGGCAAAGATTCTTTTCTTCACAGACAGCTATTTTTCTCACTGTTACTGCACATGGCAGAAGGTACAAGAGAACTCTCTGGGACCTCTTTTATTATCGGTTGAAGATATTTTGATCAATTGGACGGGGGGAAGAAATGTTCACATATTGAAATGTTCACTTTGTAAGCTAAACAATGTGATCGAATGTATATAAAAAACTTTTAAAAATCAATAATAAAAAAAAGTGCACTAATAACATTCATGAGGGCTCTGCCCTCATGACTTCATTACCTTCCAAATGTACCACTACCTAATACTATCACCTTGAGGGTTAGGATTTCAACATACGATTTCTTCTCAGGGGTGGAGGAGAAATACAAACATTCAGTTCATTGCACTCACCCAAAGCTTTACATTTAATAGGCTGTGGGGCTTAAGATTCATCTTCAGGCAACTTGATTTTAGAAACAGTTTTTAAATTATAACCCTATACTGAGAGCTTTAAAACTTCCACCAGACCCCTTTTTTTTTTTTGAGAGGTTTTCGCTATAGGGTGCATGCGCTCGCCAGACAGACAGAGACACAGAGACAGGAAGCGAGACATCACCCCCCAGAGGGGATGGTCACACCACAATCACCTCTCCTCCATTCTCCTCTCGGGATCTTGGGCATGCACGCACACATGCCCAGTGAATCTTAAGCTACCGGGTCCGGGATGCGAACCGCGGTCGACTATGTGGGAGTCCAGCAACATAGCCATTACACTAACTGCTGGTTCCCCAAAACTTCCACTCTTTTTTTTTTTTTTGGAGAGGTTTTTGCTATAGGGTGCGTGCGCTTGCCAGACAGAGACATAGAGACAGAAAGCGAGAAATCACCCCCCGGGGGGATGGTCACGCCGCAATCCCTTCTCCTCCATTCTCCTCTCGGGATCTTGGGCACGCACGCACACGCACCCGGCGTGAGTTTTAAGCCACCGGGTCTGGGACGCGAACCACAGTTAACTACGTGGGAGTCCAGCAACATAGCCATTACGCTAACTGCTGGTTCCCGAAACTTCCGCTCTTGATAGTCAAGGATAACACTTAAATGTTGAGCAGTATCTTAACTTGTTTTTATGTGCTGAATACTTTTCCAAGAAATGATTTCCTACCCATTATATGGCTTCCCCTTCCTCTTGAATAAGATAAAAAAAGTTGTCATTGATCTATTGTTGGTGACTATTTAATGACTGTATATTTCAGATCTCAGTGGGAAATGGAGAAGCATAATTTGGAAAGCACAGTTAAGGCATGCTTAAACAAACTGAATGCAGAAACCAGCAGAGCTTTAACAGCTGAGGTAAAAATGGAGTGAGATGGGGCATGGAAGTTTTATTTCTGTACTAGTATACTAAAGAACTGGGGGTGGGGAGAAGCCTGATTTTGAATACATACAAGAGATATTTTAGGACCAAGCAGGAGAACACAGTTCAATCAAACTTTACTTTTTTGACTCATTGTCACGTTGTTGTGAACACTTTAGTGCTGGTGATCTTATGTTATTTTTCCCAAGTGACTCTAAAAAGTTGATCTGCTGCAATATTTACAGCAAAATCAGACATCTTGGAAAATTCTCATGATGCCAGGTCACTAAGCCAAACTTATAAGAATAATATTTTGCTCTTACCATGATACCTGCTTTTTTCACTACTTTCCTATGTAGATTGTCCAAAAATGCGTATATCCAAAAGTCAAAACCAGCCTTCTTTCCAAACTGCTACAAAGTCACTAAATTTTTTAAAAAATTAATTTATAACACCACAGATAGGGTCTCTGTGTGTGTAACTTTTATTTATAGGTAACTAAATCTGATACATAATACGATTCACATTTTGGAGAGCTTGCTGACATTAACAGCATTACAAACCTTTATCTTGGGTCAGCTCTATTTTCTAGCAAAGTACTTAGGATTCCCCAAGTCAGCAACCAAGGAGTAAAAGCTGAACCAAAACTCTGTGGAGAATAGTATTGGTGCACTAGCTTTAACAAAAGAGGCTCAGATATCCTTAGTACACTTTGTTTTTTATTGCTTTTAGTAAGTTTGTTTCTGGTTCCATTATAATTTTTAGAAAGGAAGAGTTTTCCAATACTTAAAGCTATGCAAGTGTGTAATTTAATGAATACTGAGTGATTAGTAGTAAAACTAATTTGCATCAGTAATATGAAAAGGATATTTGCTTTGATATAGACATTGGCCTAGGTGATATACAAGGCCTATTTGGACTGTGTCTTTCTCTATTAACTCTTCATCAATAAAAAAAAAAAAAAGGAAGGAAGTTGTAGGACTTCTTTTATGTGCGCTCAAATTTTGCTGCATATTAGTTACTGGAGAGTTTATATGATTCTCCTGCTCAGGCTAAATGCAGTATCAGTTAAGTTGGAATCTCTCGAACCAATACACAATTTTCTAAAGTTTCAGAAATGATTTCAGTATGTGTGCAAGTTTGAACAGTAATGTAGAATGTTTACCAACCTAACAACCACTGAATAAGAAAATTAAAATTGCACAATTTCATTGACCGAAAAACTGTCATAATTATCTTGAATGGTCAAGAAGCTAAGGTGCTACTAGAAGAAATTGAAAAATAGCTTAAAATGTACTTGAGGCAATTGAGAAGAGAATGTTTATTTATAGGAAAGACACCTTCAACTTCTTTCTTTCCTTTTCTCTCAAAATCTTGTAGGTCTATTTCTTACAGTGTCGTAGAGATTTTGGTTTGCTTCATCTAGAACAGACAGAAAAGGAGTGTCTCAGTCAGCTCGCCAGGGTGACTCACATGGCAACAAGGTAATTTTTTCTTCTTCCTTAGTGCACCTTCATCTCAGAGATATGTACAATTGTCTCCAAGGCTGAACATAATCTGTGTTCTTATGTCTTTTACATATGTGACATTAGAGTTTTTGGAGTGAAGAAGCCCTTGTGTTTTTAAACTTCAAATGTAATTTAATAATTTTGATGCTTGTACTTTGTTGCTTCTTCTGAAGCACTGAGAAGTCTGCTGAGTGCAATAATAGCAGCTTAAAGGTTTTTCACCTTTTCCACAGTGAAATATATCAAAGTCTCAGTCAGAGATGTGTATGAAGACTAGATATTTACAAAACAAGGTAGATACGAATTGGAACACCCTTTTTGTTCCAACCCCCAATTGTTTTCTCTAGAAAGCTTTCTTTTAAATACTTTTAGAATAAATATATTGAGGGTAAAATTAGTATTAATATCAAAAATCATATGTTAAAAGCAACTTCCTGCTTGTTTTTGAAAGAGTAATCTTCAGATACTAGGATGATTGAAATTTTGAAAGGTATACCTTCAAACTTAAAAAATTAATTAAATTAGAAACCCTGGGACCAAAGCATCATAAGTTTTTCAATGGTTATAATTTTAATGATCATCATATCATGATTCTGTAGTTTTGTTTTGTTTTTTAGTTTTTCCTGAGGACACGTATACTTACTGGAAAGAGAAAGAGAGAGAGAAAGTGAGAAATCACCTCCTAGGAGAATGGCCATGTTACAGTCCCTTCTTCTCCATTCTCTTCTTGGATTGTGGGTACACGTGCACACATAGAGTGATTTTCATGCTACCAGGTCCAGGACTAGAGCCATGCAGTTGGCCTTGTGGGATTCAGCACCTTAACTCCCAGACCACCTGCAGGCCCCATTCTCTAGTTTTAAATCTGATATTTATCAAGATTCTCAGGATATACTGATGTGTGTTTAGGTCAATCTGTCTTTACTTTTTCTAGAAGGAGAAAGGGTTCCTTATAAATTAGAATATTGTGATGCCTCGTATGAGATAATCTTAGTGGAAACTTGTTCTTTTTAAAAACTGTTGGGTTGGATGATATTGGCTTGGAGATGTTACACTTAAGTCTTCTGAAAGGCCAAGTGAAATTTCTCTTCCAAAGATAGTAGGCCCTGAAGATCTCGAACTTATTCTTATTTTAGTTACGGCATTTGGTGGAAATCAGTTGACAAAGCTGCTATGTTAGTGTAGGTTTTTCACTGCACAAAGCCAGATCTCATTCATCCTTGCAGAGAAGCTACTTCTTTCTAACTTGCCCTTACAGGGGCAGTATCTTTTTCTAATTTGCAAAGGAGCCATATAGGCCAACCATGGCTCTGTGACAGCAGGGATAACATAAAGATAGTTCAAAACCTATTTTCAAGATGAGTAAATGTTTTTGAGAATGTTCTTACATTAGATAACTAAGGCAGTTTCTCTCTTTGTCTTTCTCTGCTTCTCTCCTTCATTGGAGGGGTTTCTGTGCAAAGATTTTATAATGTTTTTTTTAAAAATATCAACAAGTGTCCTGACCCGGGGGGACAGCCGAACAGGTTTCCTGAGTGAAGGAATGAGAGCCGGGACAAGTGGCATAGTGTTACAGCATGGAGATGACGCAGTGTCACAGCTCTCCAAGGTCGTCTAGAGACGATGTAGTGTTACAGCTCTTCAGGGTTGCGTCGTCTATTGTGAGCAGCATGGAGACAACGCAGTGTCACAGCTCTTCAGGCTCGTCCGGAGACAATGTAGCGTTACAACTCTTCAGGGTCTTTAGGGTTGTCTGGAGACTGTGCAATGTTTCAGCTCTTCAGGGTCGTCATCTTCTTCCTGGTCATCTGTGTCGTCTTCCTGGTCGTCTGGCTACTGTGGGCCAGGCATCGTGGTTATATTGGTTTGAAACGGTGGGCCATGATTGGTTGTAAACGGTGGGCCGTGATTGGTTGTAAACGGTGGGCCGTGATTGGTTGTAAACGGTGGGCCATGATTGGTTGTAAACGGTGGGTTATGATTGGTTGCTTTTGGACCAATCATGAGGTGCCGGATATGCAAATTTGAGGGATTCTAGTGGCCAATCAGAGCAAAGTTTCGAAGGTCAGTTTTTTTGAAGGGAACCAATCATGGCAATTGTTTGCTCTCTGAGAAACCTCGGCAGACTCGCTGGTGCGCTGGTGCGCAGCCTCCCACAAACAAGATAAAAAAGTTTGGTGTTCTGGAAGTTGTATTTGCTCTTGGGAAGGCAATTAGCATATATCACTATTTTTTGTTGTGATTTTTAATAACAAGCCTTTCATATATCTTTATGACCATTTAAGTAATTGTCAGTGATGGGGGTAGTTTGTTATTTATCTATTAATACATGTATGTAAGAGAATGAAAAGGAAATTTTAGGAAATGTAAATGAATATAAAAAGAAAAAACCTACCTATGGTTTGAGTCCCAGGCCTATGGCTTCACAAACATTCTGGATGCATGTACAAGTGTGTCCAAAATCCTGACAGGAGTAAGAGGTAGAGGAGAGGGACTGTGTTGGGACCATATCCTATCAAAAAGTGCTTTCTGACTTTCTCTCTTGCTATGACTCTCGTTCTGGGAAGGACACACATCTCTGGTGAATTAAAAAAAAAGAAACAAACTTCTCTACTGTCCTCTTTCTATTTTTTATAATTTTTTATTGTAATTGTTTGTTTGAGGTTTTTTAGACCTTGAAGTTCTTTTAAAGCTACAATGATCCAATCCTAAGTTTGGGAACATTGCTTCTGAGGACAATTATATGATGAGAAAGTTCAGTTCCAGCTGAAGAACATTACTTGAGCCTTGGCCTTTTCAGCCTAACACTATATTTATCACCTAGAATGATCAAACGTCTGTGTACTTACCTGGGGTCAAAGAAAAAGTTATTTATACCCTACAAAAACTGGAGCTATATACTGTAAAACACCATATGCTTCTTTTTCTTAGGAGTAAGGAGTTATGCAGAAACTTTCTCATTCCCTCCCAACTCTTGTGTCCCCCTTTCTATATCAGTAACCTAGAATCACTTCAGTTGAAGGCTGCAGTAGATAGTTGGAATGCCATCGTGACGGATGTTAGAAACAAGATTACATTCCTGAGGGTAAGTTCTACAGTATACTTATAGTAAATTGGTTGAATGTTATGGGTCATATATATATCTTAAAAAGACATATAATATTAAAAGCAATTAGAGGAATTTAAAGAGGAATATTTTCCAAGTTTAATTTACCAAAGTTTAATTACTTCCATTGTAGTTTATTGTAAATAACATCATAGGCTCATACAGTGTTCTTTTAGGTCCTTTGTCCAGGAAATGATAAATTTAAAAGTTGTATTATACCTACTTTCCCTAGAATTCTAGACTAAATTGGTCCCAATCAAAAATAAATATCTTAACTTGGTCAGAGTAATAATTTCTATAGAACCAAAAGGAAGATCAGATAGGCGTGTACTAGCTTTTAGTCTTAACTCTTTATGCAATTATTTCACAATGAAAAAAAATTCTTTTTGTTTTTCTTGAAGAGGATTTTGCTATAGGGTGCGTGATCTCGCCAGACAGAAAGAGACAGAAAGCGAGAAATCCCTGCCCCCCCCAGGGGGGGGGGATGGCCATGCCTCAATCCCTTCTCTTGCATTCTCCTCTGAGGATCTTGGGCATCCACGCACACATGCCTAGCCTGAGTTTTTAAGCCACTGGATCCAGGACTCGAACTGCGGCCGACTACATGGGAGTCTAGCGACATAGCCATTACACTAACTGCTGGTCCCCAAAATAAATTTTTCTTTCTTTATTTATTTTTATCATCCTAATCTTCTTTATATTACATTGTATTACATATAACTTTACAGTGTATTACATTGCTTTTTCAAAAGGGAATGCCATGCATGTCAGTCAATACAGAGACATTAATCTTCCCACTTCATCATTCAATATCTTTTCAATGTTTTTCCCAATCATTATTATTATTATTATTATTATTACTTTTTAAATCATTTATCACTCTTTTATAAAGATATTTGGATACTTAAGTGAATATGGATTAGCAAAAAATTGAAAATACATTTGTTAATTATAGCATCAAAAACCTATAAAAGCCTTGACCTACAACAGTGATTTTATTCTAAAAAAGCAAATATTAACTGGTAATTTTCTATAAATCTAATTTACTTACTGAGCATTTTATAAGGAATATAAAATTAAGACAATGATCATCAAATTATAGTAATGTTTGACTTCACAATGTAATGGTAATAATTCAGGAAAAAATACTGAATGAAGAATAAATTACTTCATTTTTAAAATTTAGTTATTTTTATTTATACTTTTTAATACATTCAATCACATTATTTAGCTTACAAGGTGATGACTTCAATAATGAACATTTCTCCCTGTTCGAGTTGATCAAGATATAACACTACCTCCCTGTCTCAACAATGCTGTCTTCGTATCCCTCCTCCAAATGTTTTTCCCCAGGCCCCACTCCTCCATACACACCACATTTGGCATTCACTTCCACCTCTTGTGTTTGTACATCCTTTAGCCCATCAGTTTCAGTTACAGAGTGCGGATATTCGGTAAATATTAAGTGGGGACATACAGTGTCTTTCCTTCATAGCCTGACTTGCTTCACTCAGCAGTAAATCTTTCATATTCTTCCACTTTCTGTCAAAAGCCAGGGTTTTGTTGTTCTTAATGACTGAATAGTATTCCATTCCATAGAGTATATATGCCACAATTTTTCAATCCATTCAGCCGTATGGGGCATTTGGGTTGGTTCCATGTCTTAGCAATCGTAAAAAATGCTGCAATAAACATCAAAGTGCCAGCACTTTTCCAATGAGAGATTCTTCTGTCCTTTGGGTAGATGCCAAGAAATGAGATTGCTGGATCATATGGCAGTTCTATTTGTAGATTTTTGAGGAATCTCCAAATTGTTCTCCACAGCAATTGGACTAATTTACATTCCCACCAGCAGTGTAAGAGAGTTCCCCTTTCACCACACCCCTGCCAACACTTATCACTTTTTGTTTTTTTTAATCTTAGCCATTCTGACTGGGGTTAGGTGGTATCTCATTGTTGTTTTGATCTGCATTTCCCTTATGATGAGGGATATTGAGCATATTTTCCATATACCGTCTGGCTATTCATATGTCATCTTTAGAGAGTGTTCTTTTCAACTCTTTTTCCCATCTTTTAATAGGATTCATCATCTTTTTTCCAAACAGCTTCTTTAGTTCCTTGGGTATTCCAGTTATCTGATGCATAGTTTACAAAAATATTTTCCCATTCTGAGGGCTGTCAATTCACACTAATTACTGTGTCTTTCGCCATGCAGAAACTTCTTAGTCTGACATAATCCCACTTGTCTATTTTGGGCATGATTGACTGTGCTATGACAGTCTTATGTAAAAAGTCTTTCTCTACCCCAATATCTCCCAGAGTTTCCCCAGTGTGTTCTAGAAGCAGTTTAATAGTTTGGGGTCTTAGATTTAGATCCTTGATCCACCTTGACTTGATTTTTGTCAAAGGTGACAGGTAGGGGTTCAGATTTATCTTTCTACAGGTGGAAATCCAGTTTTTCAAGTACCATTTGCTGAAGAGGTTTTCCTTTTCCCACTGGATTGACTGGTACCCCTTGTCAAAAATCAGTTGACTGAATGATTGGGAATTTATTCCTCTGAACTCAATTCTGTTCCATTGGCCCACATGTCTGTTTCTGTGCCAGTACAATGCTCTTTTGATTACCACAGCTTTTTGGCCAGGGAGTGAGATGCCACCCACTCAACTCTTCTTGGGCAGAATTGTTTTGGCAATGTGGGGTCTTTTATTATTCCAGACGAATTTTATGATTGTCTTTTCTAGATCTGTGAAGAATGTGTCTGGTACTTTGATTGGCATTGCATTAAATAAGTAGATTAATTTGGGTAAAATTGCCATTTTGGTTATATTAATTCTTCCAATCCAGGAACATGAGATGTCCTTTCACTTTTTTGTGTCATTTTCAATTTCTTTTTTTAGCTTCTCATAGTTTTCCTTGTGGAGATCTTTAACTGTTTTGGTTAGATTTATCCCTAAGTATCTTATACTTTTGGTGGCTATGATATTTGGAATAACTTTTTTCAGTTCTATCTCTGCCTGTTGTTTGTGTATAGAAATGCTATAGACTTCTGTATATTAATTTTGTATCCTGCAACTTTATTTTATCCGTGCATTACTTCCAGAAATTTTTTTAATGTAAATCATTGAGTCTTCTATGTACACAATCATATCATCTGTGAATACAGAGAGTTTCACGTATTCTTTTCCTGTTTGGATGCCTTTAATTTTTTTCCTCTTTTCCGATTGTGTTGGCGAGGACTTCCAGTACTATATTGAAAAGGAGTGGAGAAAGTGGGCATTTTTGTCTTGTTCCCATTTTTAGTGGGAAAGCTTTCAACTTTTCTCCATTCAGGATGATGCTGGTGATGGGTTTTTCATAGATAGCTTTTATTGTGTTGAGAAATGACCCTTGTATGCCAATTTTGCTGAGCGTCTTTATCATAAAGGGATGTTGTATCTTATCAAATGCTTTTTCTGCATCAATTGATATGACCATA